GCCTATCCATTAATAAGAAAATGGTGAAGTGAATTGTGGTTTACTGGGACAATGGAATATTATGTAGTAATGAAAAACAAAGGATTAGAGCTGCATGTATCAATATGGATGAATTTCACAAACAGATGTTCAAGAGAAAGAGCAAGTTGCACAATACATGTTCATACCTAGTTTTCAGTGTGCAGATCTCGCATATTTTTTGTCAGATTTATCCCTAAGTATATTTTTAGTGCTATTGAAAATGGTATTTTAGGCTGGGCCTGGTGGCTCATGCCTGTAATCCCAGCATGGCTTTGGGAGGCTGAGACAGGAAGATTGCTTGAGCCTAGGAGTTCAAGATCTGCCTAGGCAGCATAGCGAGACCTCCTCTCTACAAAAAAAATAAAAATAGCCAGGCACAGTGGATCATGTCTATAATCCTATCATTTAGGGAGGCAGAGGTGGGGGTACAGCTTAAGCCCAGGAGTTTGAGACCTGCTTGGGCAATAAAGCGAGACCATGTTCTCTACAAAAAGGGGGAAAAAAGACAAAATAAATAAAAATTTACAAAATTAGCTGGGCATGGTGGTGCATGCCTGAAGTCACAGATACTCGGGAGGCTGAGGTGGGAGGATCACTTGAGCCCAGCAGGTTGAGGCTGCAGTGGGCTATGATCATTCCACTGCAGTCCAGACTGGACAACACAGTAAGACCCTATCTCAAAAAAAAAAAAGAAGAAAACAGTGTTTAAAACATTCCAATTTCTAATTGTTCCTTACTAGTATATTGAAATACAGCATATTGTTGTATATTAATCTCATATCCTGCAACTTTGCTAAAATCACTTATTCTAGTAGCTATTAAAAATAGATTCCATCAGATTTTCTCTATATATGACCATGTCATCTGTGAATAAATACAGTTTTATTTCTTCCTTTTCAATTTGAATGCCTTTTTTCCCACCTAATGCTCTGGTTAGAACCCCCCATACAAAGCTGAATAGAAGTAGTGAGAACAGACAACCTTGTCTAATTCCCAGACTTAGGGAGAAAACATACAGTCTTTCACATGATGTATACTGTTAGCTGTGGGTTGTTTTTTGGAGATGCCCCTTATGAGATGGATATAATTCCCTTATATTCTTAGTTTGTTCAGTGTTTTTATTATGAAAAGGTGCTGGCTTCTCTCAAATGTGTTTTTTGCATTGATTGGGATGATCATGTTTTTTCATATGGTCTGTTAGTATGGTAAATTATATTGCTTGATTTTTGGATATTAAATCACTCTTTCATTCTTGTGATAAATCTCATGTGTTCATGATGTACTGTCCTTTTAAAATATAAAGAGACATCCAATTTGCTAAAATTTTGTTAAGAATGATTGTATCTATGTTCATATAGGTATATTGGTGTATAGTTTTCTTGCCTTGTAAGGTCTTTACCTGGTTTTGATATCAGAGTAATGCTGGACCATTCAGTGATTTGGGAGGTATCCCCTCCTCTTCAATTTCCTTGAACAGTTTGTGCAGAATCAATATTATTTCTACCTTAAATGTCTGACTCTGGGGTTTTCTTTCTTTTCTTTTTCTTTTTTCTTTTTTTTTGAGGCAAGGTCTCACTCTGTCACCCAGGCTGGAGTGCAGTGGCCCAATCATGGCTCACTGAAGCCTCGACCTTCCAGGCTCAAGCAATCCTCCCACCTCAGCCTCCCAAGTAGCTAGGATAACAGGCATGCACCACAATGCCTGGCAAAATGTTTTGTATTTTTTATGGAGATGAGGTTTTACCATGTTGCCCAGGCTGGTCTCAAACTCCTTGGCTCAAGCGATCCTCCTGCCTCAGCCTCGTAAAGTGTGAGCCACTGCATGTGGCCAATCCTGGGGTTTTCTTTGTGGAAACATGTGTTAGTTTGTTTGCATTGCTATAAAGGAATACCAGAGACTGGATAATTTATAAAGAAAGGAGATTTATTTGGCTCATGGTTCTGCAGGCTGTCCAGGAAGCATAGTGCCAGCATCTACTTCTGGTGAGGGCCTCAGGAAGCTTCCAGTCATGGCAGAAGATGAAGCGATGCCTGAGTCACATGGTGAGAGAAGGAACAAGAGAGAAAGAGGAGGAAGTTCCAGACTCTTTCAAACAACCAGATCTTGTGTGAACTCATAACTGAGAATTCACTCATTACTGGGGAGGATGGCACCAAGACATTCATGAAGGATCCATGATCCAAACACCTCCCACCAGGCCCCACCTCCAACACTGGGGGCTACATTTCAACACGAGATTTGGAGACGACAAACGTCCAAACCATATCATAAAGTTTTTAATTGCATATTCAATTTCTTTAATAGATGTAGGCCTATTCTGGTTATCTATTTCTTCCTGAGTGTTGTTAGATTGTATTTTTCAAGGGATTTGTCCATTTTATCCATATCGTGCCATTTCTATCTGGTGTAATTAGAATAGTGTTCATATCAAAATTCAGTCTCTCCATATCTTTTCCAGGTAACTCTCCCTTTGGTGCTTTGAAGCAATAGGGCATCTTGACTGGCTGCCATGGCCCCCACCTTTCCTCCTAGGCTCAGCCCTTGACAAAAGTACTCCTCACTACTCTCTCATCTTCCCCCCACCTTGTATCCCTCTAGCATTCCTCACCTGAAGAACTTAGGCTTTCTTAAGTCTCTTTAGTTAGCAGGAAACTACCTAATTTAAAAACCTGGTCAGGCGCGGTGGCTCACACCTATAATCCCAGCACTTTGGGAGGCCAAGGCGGGCGGATCACCTGAGGTCAGGAGTTTGGGACTAGCCTGACCGACATGGATAATCCCCGTCTCTACTAAAAAAATACAAAATGAGCCGGGAGTTTTGGGGCATGACTGTAATCCGAGCTACTTGGGAGGTGGAGGCAGGAGAATCGCTTGAACCCAGAGGGCGGAGGTTGTGGTGAGCCGAGATCGCGCCATTGCACACCAGCCTAGGCAACAAGAGCGAAACTCTGTCAAAAAAAACCAAAAAACAAAAAACAAAAAACTCTCCAAGCTGTTTATTACTTAAGGGTTTAGTCCTTCCAAGAGTATTTATGTTTCAGAAGAGAATGTCTAGACAGGATTGTGCATAACGAAAGTTAGTCAATTTTTAATGGTGTTATTGCAGGCTCTGTGACAAGTAGGGGAGGGAAGCACTTTGGGAAAAGGACCCTCCTCTTTTTAAAATACTATTCAAGTACAAGTTTGCTCTTATTACTCTTCTGCTTTAAGACTGTCTACAGGGAGTTCCCTTAGTCCTTTGGTCAAAGTAAAATGTTTGACACAGCCTTGCAAGATCCTGCCTCTTCTCGAGCCATCAGACCCGGTCTTACTGCTCTACTCTGCTGGAGCTCTGTCCTGGCCCTCAAACTGTTGGATTTCTCTGAGAAAGCGATAGTGTGCTCAGATTTTAAGGATGAGGTGGAGAAGTTCAAAGAGAGGGCATTTGCTATGGAACTGAGGCTACCAAAATGACAAAGAGAATGCATCCGATAGTGGCCTTATAAAGTGGAGTGACTTTATATAAACTGACAGTGCGACCAGTGACTGCCAGGCTGACTAGAGAAGGCAACTCTCGCTGTGGATATAGTTGGAAACTGGCTTTTCTGCTTCAGCGCTGTGGACCAGCCATTGGCCTTTCTTCCCTAAAGTTCATTCACCTGATACCTTCCAGAAGGAAGGCCACCCCCTGCCTGGGTTGGCCATGTGCCAAACCCCTGCCCACTCCAAAGTGTGGCTTGGAATGATGTGATCTGCTTATTAAAAATCAGATTGCAGGAGGCCAAGGCGGTCGGATCACGAGGTCAGGAGATCGAGACCATCCTGGCTAACACGGTGAAACCCATTTCTACTAAAAATATAAAAAATTAGCCGGGCATGGTGGCGGGTGCCTGTAGTCCCAGCTACCTGGGAGGCTGAGGCAGGAGAATGGCCTGAACCCGGGAGGTGGAGCTTGCAGTGAACGGAGATCGCACCACTGCACTCCAGCCTGGGCAACAGAGGGAGACTCTGTCTCAAAAAAAAAAAAAAAAAAGAAAAGAAAAATCAGATTCCTGTGCCCCAGGCAGAGTGACTCATCAGGGGTGGAGTCTAGAAATAAATTTACATTTATTTATTTTTTATTTTTGTATAGACGAGGTGTCACTATATGATGGTCTCAAACTCCTTGGCTCCAGCAATCCTCCCCCTTCGGCCTCCCAAAGCACTGGGATTACAGGCCTGAGCCACCGCGCCAGCCTAATTGTACTTTTTTTTTTTTTTTTTTTGAGACAGAGTTTCACTCTTGTTGCCCAGGCTGGAGTGCAATGGCAAGATCCTGGCTTACCGCAACCGCCGCCTCCTGGGTTCAAGCGATTCTCCTGCCTTAGCCTCCCGAGTAGCAGGGATTACAGGCATGCGCCACCATGCCCGGCTAATTTTGTATTTTTAGTAGAGAAGGGCTTTCTCCATGTGGGTCAGGCTGGTCTTGAACTCCCGACCTCAGGTGATCCGCTCGCCTCGGCCTCCCAAAGTGCTGGGATTACAGGTGTGAGCCAGTGCGCCGGGCCTTAAATGTACTTTTTAAACCAAGTTCTGCGGTAGATTCTCAGGCATGAAAATTTGAGAACCATGTTTGTGAGGGGCGTCATGCGGAAGGCCATATATTCTTGCAGCCAGTAGACTGAACCCGGACCTTGCATCCCCACCCTGGGGTCTCTCTCAGTGACAACTTTTCCCAGGTGTCGGGGCTTCCCTCCAGCGTGACGACCCCACGGATACGGTGCCAAGAGCCAGGCTGGCGGCTGGGCTGGCGGGAGAGCGGCGGGGCTGGGGGCGCCGGCACCATACGACCGCGGGCTCCGGGACCACAGCGCGCCGGGGAGGAGGCCGAGGCGGCGGGAAAAAGCCGAAGATACTTGAGGGGACGGAGGGACCAAGCGACGGAGGGAGGAACAGAGTACAGCCTCGCGCTCGTACCGAGCACTGGGACGCGCGGGGAGCGCAGGAGGCCGGGCGGGGAGGTTCGGGGCGGGGCGTGCTACCCGCAGCCCCCGGAGCTCGGCTAACTCTGCGCCCAGTGCACGGCAGCACCATGGGGTCCCGCCACTTCGAGTGGATTTATGACCACGTGGGGCACTTCGGCAGGTAGGAGGCGGGGTGGGGAGGGGGCGCCACGCGGGAGGCGGCGCCAAGGGGTCTGTTTCTTTCGGTTGCGGCAGCGTTCTCGCGCGGCGCTCGCGATCCGAAAACATCTCCACTCCCTCCTTCCCCCGCGCAGTCCGGACACAGGCGTCCAGACGCCGGCCCCGAGCTGGGCTTGTCCCCTAGGACTCTGGCAGCGGGGCCTGGCATGGTGATCAGAGGCGCCGGGCTCGCTCGGGGTGCACCTGTTGCCAGGCAGGTGGGACCTGGGTGCTCTCCGCGGCAGCCGATGCTGGAGGCCCCCCAGGGGCCAGATCGCACGCTTAGGGGGTGCCTGAGCCTGGCGGCCCCTTTCTCTAATCCCTTTTCTCACTTCCCTAGACGGCTGCTGCCCCCTTCTGCCCCGCGCCGCCGTAGGGCCTCCCTCTGTGCCTGGCAGGTATTCCCCAGGGACAACCGTTAGTCAGAGTTGGTTGCCGTTTATTAAAACCTAATATGTGCCAGGTACACTGTACCGAGAGCTTACACACAGTTCTTCATTTGATGTTCACCGGGACCCTGCAAAGGAGGTGTTCAAATCCCTATTTTAGTGATTGGGAAACTGAAGCTGGCGGGGTCAAGGACTCATAGCCAACGCATGGTGGAACCACGTTTTACCTCCGTACACCCTCTTTTCATTTGTCAAATGGATTTAAAATTTTTAAAATTATTCATTCGTGCGTTCATTTATGGACAGAGCTCCTTTATCTGACTCAAGAGTGCTTTGAGAAGAGAGGTAGCCGGATGAGGGGCCATGCAGCGTGGCGGCCGGAGATTTGGAGCTGCGTCTGAATCCTGGCCTGCTACTTACCTCTGATATGATTCTAGAGATACTTTGTGTCTCAGTTTCCTATCCAGAAAATGGGAATTAGGCTTAGCGAAGAGATGATGTGGTGCTGTACTTCAAGGTGGAAGGTTGTATGCGTTTTGGTTTTGATTCCCAGTGTCTGCAAAAAAGAGCTGTTAGGACAGAGGAAAGGGGCAAGAAGCCCCAGCTGTTCCCTGCTTCCTTCTGCTTGCATCATTGAACGCTGTCTTGTGCCTGGCTTGGTCATAAGCCGCTGGTACGTGCTACTTCCTTTAATTTTCACTACAGCCTGATAAGGTTGGTAGTATCACCCTCTTTTCACAGATGAGAAAAACAAGGTTTCTGCCTAAGCATAAATCTAATACTAGCAGGGCAGAATTGGATGCCATTGGATGCCCATCACCTCCACAGCCCACACTCTCAACCATGATGCACTCCTGAGCACGGTTAGGTGACGGCCCCTCGGCTGGGCCAAGCTCTTTATGTATGATCTCATTTCATCCTTTTGGAAGCAGAATAGCACAGAGGTTAAAAGATCAGTTTTAAGGCTGGATGTCTGAGTTCCCATTCTGGCACTACCACACATTAACTATATGGTCTTGAGCATATTATTGACCACTTTCTTATCCGTAAAATGAGGCCAATAATAGCAGTACAAATGGTTTCAAATAGGAGTAGTGAAAATGTGTATATGAGGACTCCGCATGCAGTTTCTCATCCTCACAGTAACTCAATGAGGTAGGTGGTACTAACACCTTAGGGTCCCCTGTGTTTTTTAGGGATTAGCTGAGATAATTATATTAGCTCGTGTTTGACTAAGGTACCCTATCAAACAGATTCCTCAACTGGAAGTTTATAACTCTCCAGTTGAACTGCCCACAGCAGGATCTGTGCCACAAGGCCATTCAGGGGCCCTGACAGGTGGGGCAGCTCTGCCATCCATGGCATGGGGTTCCCTGTCTGTGCCTGGAGCAGCTGCTCATCCATAGTGACAGCTCACTATGGTGAAGAGGGGCCAAATGGGTTTGAGGAGACAGCTCTTAGCTGGCCACCATAATGTATGCAAAAGTCTTATTATTCAGTAAGTTCTCAATAAGTCATGGCTATTATTGTTACCTGAGTTCCCATATTGGTGGTCAGGGTTGACTTGTGAAAGCAGCTTACAGGAGGGAAAAGGGTAACAAACCAATGCTTATACAGTAGAAGGTGGAAACAGTGTGACTGTAACACAGTACCCCATTTTTCTCAGATATTTGTTCTAATTGGTCTCTATTTTTATAAACAGAAAAGAAAGTTATTGTGATGATTATTTAGTCCTCTTTTTAAGGGAACCTAGTGAAAGTGTTAAGTAGAGCAGTGGTCTCCAACCTTTTTAGCACCAGGGACCCGTTTTGTGGAAGACATTTTTTCCACAGACCTGTGGTGGAGTCGGGGGGATGGTTTCAGGATGAAACTGCTTCACCTCAGATCATCAGGCATTAGATTCTCACAAGGAGCTCTCAACCTAGATCCCTTGCATGTGCAGTTCACAATGGGGTTCACGCTCCTGTGAGAAACTAATGCCACGGCTGATCTGACAGGAGGTCGAACTTAGGAGATAATGCTCCCTGGTCACTGCTCACCTCCTGCTGTGTGGCCTAATTTCTGCATGGACCAGTACTGGTCTATGGCCCGGGGCTTGGGGACCCCTAAAGTAGACAACCCTGATTACCTCTCATTTCTCATTGATCATTTCTTGAATAAGGAAGCACTATTCTAGTCACCTTGAAAAGGGGGAAAACAGGCCAGGTGCGGTGGCTCATGCCTGTAATCCCAGCACTTTGGGAGGCCGAGGCAGGTGGCTCACGAGGTCAGGAGATTGAGACCATCCTGGCTAACACAGTGAAACCCCATCTCTACTAAAAATACAAAATATTAGCCGGGTGTGGTGGCGGGCGCCTGTAGTCTCAGCTACTTGGGAGGCTGAGGCAGGAGAATGGCGTGAACCCGGGGGGCAGAGCTTGCAGTGAGCCGAGATCGCGCCACTTGCACTCCAGCCTGGGCAACAGAGCGAGACTCTGTCTCAAAAAAAAAAAAAAAAAAAAAAAAAAGTGGGGGAAACAGGATACCTGAGAAGAACTAAAATACCATTCCAGGATTTCTCCTGAAACCATATTGTAGTTCCATAAACTTCACAGCTGAAGCTCCATATGGAAAGAAATTGAGGAGACTGAGATTTAGGCACCTGTGTTGGGAGGACCTGAACCGGGATCCCTGAGTTAGCTGTCCTGGGATAAGAGAAGTGATGGTTTAAAAGTTTAGAGTTGGAATATGGAGCCTGTGGCAGACCTTCATGGATGGACAGAGGTAGAGTTTTGTCTTTTGTTTTTTGTTTTTTTTTTCAATATGTAGTTTTTCTGGCTCTTTTTGGACTTCAGCATATGAACATCATAACATCTACCATTTATATACAACTATGGTGTGCCATACAGTACTTTCCAGGTGTTAACTCATTTCATTCCCACAAAGCCCATTGTTCAAATGAGGAAACTGAGGCACAGAAAGGATAAGGATCTTGCTCATGGTCCCTGGTGGTAAGTAACAGGGCCAAGATCAAACCTTGGCAGTCTGGCTCCAGAATCCATGCTCTTAACCACGATGGGCTCCACCAGTTATGCTTTTATGCGGAATGATATAATCTAGGACTGAAAGCAATTTTCTTCATCCGTCACCCAGATTGCATGGGCCCATTGCCTGGGGCTTCTGGCCACCCTTGCTCTCCCTCGCCTCTGGGTTTTCTGCCGATTGTGTTTGTGTGATTCTTTTTCCACTCATATGTCGTATCTATAAGCCTGTTGTCCTGGTGGACCCCTAGGTTGGGTACATGCATGACACCTCTGAGGGCCAAGAACCTTTGTAAAGGAGAGAGTGATGTGTTAGAATGCTAGACGCCTAAGGACATGGGGTTTGCTTTTTCAAGAAGTTATTCTTGCAACAGGGAAAGGGAAATTTGAATTGAAGGAGTGCTTAGGACCTTTCTAGCACATGGAAAGTGTGTTTATGTGAACTAGCATGGCTTGATTGGGGGCCACTTAGTAGTTGTTTTTGGGGTATAAGATATGAGAGTAAGAGAGGCAGGAGGTAAGCTTACAGTCATCTCCATGAGTGTTTTTGAATGTCATACTGCAGAGTTTGGGTATCAGAAGATTACTTTTCAGTGCAGAGGGTGGATTGGAGGGGCAGCAAGTGGGGCAAGGGGGCCAGTGAAGACCTAGATAAGAGCCCAGGTGAGAGAGAAAGAGGGTCTGGACAGTGGGAGTGTGGGCAGGGAGAACCAGAGGGTTTTAGCAGGCGGAGTTGATGGGACCTCTTGGCCCTAAGGCATGAAGGAGAAGTGAAAGGGACCACATGCCCCTCCTAGCCCACCCCATGCCCCATGCCCAGGATTTCTAGTTTGTGTGGGTGATGGTACCCTAAACTCAGAAAGTTACCTTCCAGGTGGGGCAGGCCTAGATACTGAGCTCAGTTTGAGATTGGTTTACCTTGCGTTCCTTGTGGGAATTCCAGGCAGAGACATCCAGTGGGAAGTTGGGTAGATAATCTGTTGCTCAGGGAAAATGCCCCTTTGTCAATATGGATCAGCTGGCCATCCAGGGCTGCAGTCCAGCTGGCCAGTGCCTTGTGGACAGATTAGGCATGCCTTGGCACCTGTTCCAGCTGTGCCTCAGCAGGGGCGTTGCTGAATACTTTTCCCTCTCCCTGGGCCCTGTAGATAGAAAACTTTTAAATTGATATATTGCATATATGCAGAAAAATGTGCACCATAATCTACAACCTGATGAGCTGTCATACAGTGAACACACCCACGTTACCCCCGCCGAAATTATCTCCTCTTATGCCTTCTCCCAAGCTGTACTCCATCCCTGTCCCCCAAGCTCACTACTCTCCTTACATCAACCATACTAAATGTTACATAACTGGGGTAAAAAGCACGTGCCCTTTGGCTTCTTTTGTTCCACACTGTGTTTGTGAGATCCGCCCATATTGTGTGTCACGGTAGTTAGTCGATTTTCATAGCTACCTAGTATTTAATGGCAAGAATATTTCACGGTTCATTCATTTACTGTCAACAGGCGTTTAGACTGTCTCCAGGTTGGGCTTGTTATGAGTTGCTTTT